GTTGTCCCCGGCGAGGTGGTTGGCGTGATCAGCGGCTCCGGCACCGGGTTTGGCAGTAGGGGCACGTCGAGGCGGAGGCGTGGGAGGAGTGGAGGAGCATGGCACGAGGGCCGGTCATCAAACAGGGACACCGGCGAAAACAATGGCAAGGAGGAAAAGGCAGAGCTTTTAGGGTTGGGGTCTCACTAGCGGTAGAGGAGCAGCTCCGGCGAGATGACGATGAGGCAGAGGTGAGCTCGGCCAGTAGTAGGTGACGGAGAGGCGGAGAAAGTCACGGTGGTGCTCTGCTTCCTGGTGAGGATGAGGGAGGCGGTGGTTGCAGACGAGCAGGGCTGGTGGGCGTGGCTGCTCGATGGGGACAGCTGGTGCAAAGGCAGGGCATGGAGGCTGGCGAGGTAGTCATAGTGTGCTTCATGGCGGCGTGAATGTAGAGGCAAGGCGGAGCTCGATGTCATGGGCTCATCATCATGGCGGTGGTGTTCGGTAGAGCGTGGCCATGGCTCTGGCGAGGCAGGCTTGGTGAGGAGGAGAAACCAGCAACGTGGAGATGGAACTCACATTGGCGCTGCTGCGCAAGCGCAACTTGGCGGTGAGCCGACCGACGCTGTGGATTCGGGGTGTTGGGGTGGTGGCGTGCTCAACGGCATTCGCGGCTGGAGACGTCGCGATGCTGGCGAGGATGGGCTTGGGCAAGCAGAGCTCGTCGGAGGACCGTGATGCTGGCATGGTGGCGCGGCTCGGCGTGGCACTAGCAGCGTTGCGGCTCGAGGCAAGCGGAGGAGCTACCGGAGGGAGGTGAGCTCGGGGCTAGTGACCGGAGGTGGAAGAAGGGGAGGAAGAGGTTGGAGCGGCGGCGGCTACAGGGATACCGGGGAGAGCGGATGGCTTCGGCGCATTTTATAGGGCGCCAGGCTAGGGTTCAAAGTGATGGACGGCGGCGAGCCTCGACTTCTGTACTCAAGGACGCGTGGTGGCCATCGCGCGGTGAGCGCCGCCTAGGACGCGGGGCACGCTGGTGCGCGTGCGTGGGAGCGGCGGTGATGGCTCGGATTGGCATAGGGGCGAGCGGCCGCTAGGGTTAGGCACTGGGGCATTGTGTGGGCCTACGGGGGCCGGTGCCTAGGCTAGTGGGAGCTCTGGTCGTGTGGGCCGAGCGAGGCGGAGAGGCAAGCTGGGCCAAGGGAGGGGGCACGGGGTAGGCCGGCCTGGGCTGCCGATCGAGCCAGCGATAAAAGAGAAAGGGGAGGGGAGTTGGGCCACGGGAAGAAGGGAGGCCAAGGTGGGCCGGCGGGATGGGAAGAGAAGGGGAGTGGGCCAGTTGAATGAGATGGCCGATTGGGCTGAATGGGTGGGAAAAGGAAAATGGATTTTCCTTTTATTATTCAATGAATTTGAGAGAGATCCCAAAAAGAAATTGGAGATGAATCCAAAGAGGGGATTTGAGAAGGGATTCTTGCTACGGATTTGTGCACTCCAACTCCAAACAAAACACAAACTCAAACCAACTCAAAGCACAGCCACTCTTCTACAACCAATTCTAAATGAATGCAACAATTTATTAGTGTTTTTGACTTAAATTTGACCTAGAACTACATGCTTCACACATTTGCAGGAAATTTTTTAAAAAGCTCATCTTTTTGGTTGCTCGAAAACCTAGGTTGTTACAATAGTCTCCGCCATGAAATGCTTTAAGTCACCTAATTCGTCCTCACGGATCTCCTTTCGCCCAATTTGGTTGAAGAAGTAGCACATCTGGGTGATGACCATCCTCATGTACACGGGCTTTATAGCCCTAATTTAATAGGAAGGAAACATGTCAACATCATATGGCAATCATGAGCATTGAAACCAGTTACCATCATGAGCATGGAAGATTGCTCTTTTCTCATCATTTGTCAGGTTGTAGCTGGCTGTAGGAAGGTAGCATCTTCCATTCCTTAGGTCTTCTGGGTGAAGCTCTGGTCTAGACTCGAAACATACTAGGTCCTCCCGTGACTTCAATCCATCCTTTGTCTTCACCTTAATGTCCATCAATATCCCAATGCCGCTCTCAAACACATTCTTTTTTATGTGCATGCCGTTGATGGAATGGCGCACGGCCAAGTCCGGCCAGTAAGGCAGGTACTTGAAGAAGATTAACATCTTCTTGAACGGCACGCCATCAATTGAAGGCATATCTCTCTTATTGATCTTTCCATCCTTTTTCTTTTTATAATAAGCGACTTTGATGTTCTTAACCATGTTATACACGTAATGCCCATCCCGCCTCTCTAGCACATGCCCTATCTCAATAGTACTACCAATGAAGTATTTCATCATCCTCTTGCTTCGGTAGTTGTGTCCTTCCACTAAGAAGTGTCAGTGACGCATGTACACTACCTTTTGGGATCCCTCTAGGAACTGAGCTGCAGTGTCAATCAAGCATTCCGAGCATCCATGAATCCTTTGATCAGTCCTGAAAGGGGAAACTATCCTAGGTAGTCAGTGATGGTAACAAAAATGATGGCTTTGCATGTGAAGCTACTCTTCGCAAGCTCATCCCACATTTTCACTCCATGCTTCTATAGTGTCTTGATTTCTTGCATCAACGACACGAGAAAAACATCTATGTCAATGCCGGGTGATTTGGCCCCTAAAATTATAATGGTTAGCAACAAATACTTCCTCTTCTGACACAACCATGGAGGGAGGTTGTAGATCGATAGGATAACTGGCCATGTGCTGTGTGTGCTGGTCCTATCACCAAAAGGATTCATTCATCAGTGATCAAAGCGAACCTTACGTTTCTCGAATCTTCATGAAATTCTAGGTACTTGGCATCAAAGTCCTTCCACTATTGTGCATCGGATGGGTGACGCAGCACTCCATCATCTTTCTTGCATTGATCCGAAGCCCACCATCGCATGAGCTCTGAGTCCCTTGGGTTTGAGAACAAATGACTCAAGCGATCAATCGGTGATACATACCACATAACCAATGTAGGAATTCTTTTTTGGTTAGTATCATCTACTGTAAGGTGTTGTTTTCCTCTTCAACGTCCTGAGAAGCGTTATTTTTCTTTCTGCCCTTCTTTCTCTTTTTCCCGGTGTTAGTACCCTCACTGCAGTCTTCATTTATTTTGTACTGACTAGCACCACAGTTTGGACAATTCGTTAGGTCTTTGAACACCCCACAATAAATGATACAATGGTTTGGACACGCATGTATTCATTCCATACCCATCGTTAGTGGACTGATAAGCTTCTTTGCTTGATACGTGTTGGTAGGCACAAAGTTTGGCTTAGGAAGCACAACAGCCAATAGAGTCAATAGGTCGTTGAAGCTCCTATCGGACCAGGCATACTTAGCCTTCAAGATCAGTATGTCTAGCACAAAACGTAGCAACAACCACCTTTTCTCACAACCCTTTTCCTCTGGGTACAAGCGTTCTTCCCTTGCCTTCCGCACCATCTCCAAGTTATCTAGCCCTTCCAAAAGTAATTCTTATTCTACGTGGCACAACATGTCGTCCGGGAAGTCTTCTTCTTCATCTTCTTCGTTGTCTTCACCATCATCCTCCCCACCACAACCTTTTCCGGGACCATAGCCTTCGCCACCACCACCGCCTAGAGCGTCATCTCCTGGACCATCATGCATCATGACAAGATGGACATCGTCATCTTCCCTTACTTCTGATGCATTTGTTCATCTCTCACCATGATCGTCATCTTCTCCACCACCATAGCCTTCCATGTTGCCTGCTTCTGTTCGTCTCTCACCATGATGATCCCAAATCTCGTAGTTCTTGATGAAATCCCTTCTTACCAAGTGTGATCTTATCGTATTTGGATCTAGGCATACTATACGGTTCCGACAATCAACACATGGACAATATATATCATTTATCTGCTTAATCAAAGTGTGCATTTTAGCCGCTTCAATAAAACCATTCACATCTTGTATGCAGGAAGCTTCATGTCTTCTTTTCGTGTACATCCATGACCTGTCCATATGTGCCCTTCAAAAATAAAAGGTATATTTGCATGAAGGTATTATTCGCATATAAATGTTGAAGCAATTGATGTCTATTTTTCTATACAAATATTACATTATTGTAGACCTAAAGCTGAAAATGATAAAGTAAATATAGAAATTAACTAGAGTTCATGTGAGCCAAAATAAATTGGGCAAAAATCAATCTAAATTGCTAGAAAAAAAAACTCTAACATCATGCATGTCTCTCTCTAGATCTCTAAGTGAAAAAACGATCATGTGAATTTTGAAAAGTGTTTCGGGATGCCACTATCTCACCTCTCAAACCCAACTCCTTCAACAGTTCAAAGGACAAAACCTCCCCCTCTATTTTTGCTATTTCTCGCCCTCCAAGTGAGCTAATGGTGCTCAGCATGCAGACTATTCCGAGGAGCAAGAAGGGGTATTGGGGGGGGGGCATTTTTAGAGGCGGTTGACTAAAGAGAACCGCCTCTGTTAACTCATTTGTAGGGACGGTTTTCTTAAGGAATCGTCTTTGAAAATAAGCCACTTTAGAGACGGTTTTGTAAAAAGGTCCGCCTCTAGAGATCCATTTTCAGGAGCGGCTCTCTTAATGCAACTGTCACTGAAAATGGACGTCTATCAGAGACGATTTTCTTAATAGAACCGCCCCTAAAGAAGGATCTTCAGAGGCGGTCCCTTAGCTACAGTGCTCAACGGCGCGTGGTTAGAGGCGACGTGCTAGTTGAACCGCCTCTGATAAAAAAGAATGACGTCGTTAAAAATAATTTCTGTACTAGTGTACCAACCACAAACTCCCATTGTTCTTCGTTTCCGACTAGAAGCGTACCCGTTCGTCTTGGAACCCAAGTCTACTGGTGGCCCGGACTTGACAAGGAGGGAGGAACCAGGCAAAGCCATATCCATCATCGCATCGATTGAAGAACGGCAGAAGAGAAGAAATTGATTGACGAGAAGGATTGGAACGAAGGGCAGCTATACATAGCGATGATCGTTGTACGTTGTTCATGGGGATCCAGCAGGAGCAGGTGGCCGTGGGGGTGAATAAGCGTCGTCGTCCATCGCGCGAGCATGATGAGGACCATCACCAAGGCGCCAACGATAATCATCATCAGAAGAAGGTCCACCGGACAACGATGCTCCTCATGGAGTACATCGCCGAGGACGTCGCCAGGTCCAACGAGGACATGGCCTGTAGCGACAAGCTCCTCGACGACTTCGAGGCCAGGATCGGCTCCTTCGACCATGGTACTGATCATTAGCCTGTGGTACCGTTACCGTTCATCTCACCGTGTCCAAGACCACCATCAAGATGCCCCGGTCCTTCTCCGAGAGAAGCGGCTACCACCCCATCTCCGACAGGTTGCTGTGCGATCGCAGCCTCATCACACAGGCTGACGCCGACAAGGTCATGAAGGGCGACCGCCTCATCTCCAAGCTGTAGGCGTGGACGCAGGAGGAGGACAGGGAGGTCCTGTGCCACTACGAGTTTACGACGCCAAGGGCAGGCCTGATGGTACCAGCATCAACCCCTCCACCACCCGCCCCGCCGACCACTAATCGTACGTGTATCGATGCATCTACATCCTCTAATCATAATCCACGTTGACTTCTGTTTCCTGATTTGTTTTCAACCTGCAGTCTGCTAATCCTAATCCAGGGTCACTTTTTCGATTTGTTTTGTTTTTCTTTTTTTTTCACAATAGAACAGTTGGCGTGACTCCATGATTGTTCCCGATTTTTTTTCTGATTTGATTTCCAATTTGTCTTTTACTTTCTGATTTTTTCCCACCGGCAAGCTTTATTTTTATTTTATCTGAACGGAAAGGTTTTTCGTGACCCTTCATTTTTTATTTTTTTCCCAATGGCACAGTTTTCCATGATTTTTCTATTCGATAATGATGTGAACCGACGCACCAATCCACTCCGCTCCCCCGCACTCGCTCTCCCCCCGCTCCGTCCGCCCGCTCTCCAGGGCGTCCCCGGGATGGGGACGTTGCACCCGCGCACAAGCTCATTGTCGCCCCTACCCGCCCATGCTCCCTCCTCCTCCCCCACCAGAGACGAGGACGACTACAGCAGCTCCGACAAGGTAAGTCGGTCCTTCTCTGGATCTGAGCCTCCTCCTCGTCCTCCTCTCTGAATCTGAGCGTTCCTCCACCTCCTCTGAAACTGAGCACTCCTCCTCCTCCTCTTCTGGATCTGAGCCCTCCTCCTCCTCCTCCTCCTCCTCTGGATCTGAGGGATACGGCGGTGGCTAGGGTTCCGGCTAGCTCTGGGGTACATGTTTTTTTGATGTTGCACTACATGTTTTTTAGATGTTGCACTACATACTTTTGCGATGTTGCAGTACATATTTTTTCGATGTTGCAGTACATAATTTTCGTTGTTGCAGTATATATTTTTCTGATGTTGCAGTACATGTTTTTCCGTGTTGCACTATATATTTTTGCGATGTTGCAGTATTTATATTCCGATGTTGCACTAAATAGTTTTTTCATATGTTTACGATGTTGCACTTGAAGTGTTTTGTGCTATTTTGGGACAGGGGCGTGGTGGGGGAATGGGGTGCGTTGGGGAGGGGAGCGACGTCCAGATTCTATTCTGTTCCATTCCATTCTGCAGGGCGGGCGGTTTGGATCCGATTTCTGCGTGGGGGCGGTTTGAGAAGGGGAGCGACGTCCGGGTGCTAGGATGCCCGTTTTCTATTTGTTTTATATTTTATGTTTTTTCACTGGTGGATAGTTTTCTTTTCCGACTGTATTTTTTGTGGTTTTTAGTTTCTATATTTTGCTAGCACAATCCAAATCCAACACGAGACCATTTTCAAGTGGCATACGTCTAGACAATTATGTGGAGTCCGATTTCAAGGCATATTATAATATATGAAATAACTGTTGCATAAACCTTTAAAGCCGAAAGTCATCCGGATGATGACGGAACAAGCTTTATGTTTCGTTGTGATGCACTGGCACATTTGCTATGCACTTGGATATACAATACGTTTAGATGTATAGTAAAATCAACATACCTACAAAAGCTAAAATATCTTATAATTTAGAATGGATGGAGTTGTTATGTAACATTCCGGTTTCTGCTTTCCATGAACATTTGATAATTTTCTCACGTTGCAACGCACGGATATATTTGCTACCGACAAAATACACACCGCATACTTAGAGCGACGTCTCCAATTTATACCCCATTGCCATGCACTTTGATTTAGAATTTTAGATCTAGACAAACCCTTAAAAATTTATGTGTCACTTTCATCATAATCTCATAACCTACCCTATAATAAAATGGAGGAAGAGTTGCACATGAAAAATGTACCACTTTGATGGCACGGCAAAGATGGCAAAAGTCCCATGGGGGATAAGGAGGCGGAAAAGCAGAGCAAAAAGGAAGAGCACAACAGAAGTAGAATCTTATCGGTTATCGCGCAAACGTGCCCGAGTCGCCTCGCCTCACTTTCATTCTGCGGCTCTGCTACTGCTAGGTGCTGCTAGGCAGGCACAAGAGCACGCGCCCGCGTGGTCATTCGCGACGCCGCCGGTGGAGCTCCAAGACCCACGCCGGCCATGGCCGCGAAGCAGCAGCAGCACCACCACTTCCTGATCGTGACGTACCCGGCGCAGGGGCACATCACCCCGGCGCGTCACCTCGCGCGCCGCCTCGCCGGTGCGTGCCCCGGCGCGCGCGTCACCATCTGCGCCCCGCTCTCGGCGTTCCGGAAGATGTTCCCGGGCGCCGCCGCCGCTGTGACTGTGACGGGGGAGGAGGAGTGTGGCGACTGCGATGCGAGCGTCGCGTACGTGGCCTACTCGGACGGCTACGACGGCGGGTTCGACGTCGCCGTGGACAGCTACGCGCGGTACATGGAGCAGGCGAGGACGGCGGGGTCACGCTCGCTGGCCGGGGTGCTCCGCCTCCTCCGCGACGACGGGCGCCCCGTCACGTGCGCCGTGTACACGCTGCTCCTGCCGTGGGTGTCGGCCGTCGCCCGGAGCCACGGCGTGGCGGCGACGGCCGTGTTCTGGATCCAGCCGGCCACCGCGCTCGCCGCGTACTACCACTACTTCCGCGGCCACCGGGACGCCGTCGTGGCCGCGGCGGCGGCGTCCGGGGACGGGGACCCAACGCGCGCCGAGGTGCGGCTCCCGGGCCTCCAGCCGCTCCGCGTCCGCGACCTGCCGTCGTTCCTCGCCGTCACCTCCGACGACGACCCGTTCGCGTTCGTGCTCCCGGAGTTCCGCGAGCTCGTGGACGCGATCGAACGAGACGACGACGGCTCCTCCTCGAAGCCGAAGCCCCCGACGTACGTGCTCGCCAACACCTGCGACTCCATGGAGCCCGACGCGCTCGCGTCGCTGAGGACACACGTGGACGTTTTCGCCGTCGGGCCCGTGCTGTCGTTCCTGCACTGAGGCGGATGACGGCAGGCGCGCCCCGTCCCCGTCTCCTCCTCGCGACGTCTTTGACCACGACAAGAGCGGGTACCTCAGCTGGCTGGACACCAAGCCGGCCAAGTCGGTGGTGTACATCTCCTTCGGCAGCTCGTCGGTGATGAGCAGGAAGCAGGTGGTGGAGATCATCGACGCCATGGCCCAGGTGAAGAGACCGTTCCTCTGGGTTTTAAGGAAGGACAACTGCAAGGGCCACGAAGACGACGACGCGGCGATCAAGAAAGCCGCGGCGGCGGCGGCGGTGGATGCGGACAACGGCGGGATGGTGGTGGAGTGGTGCGACCAGGCGCGCGTGCTGTCGCACCCGTCGGTGGCGTGCTTCGTGACGCACTGCGGATGGAACTCGACGCTGGAGAGCGCGGCGTGCGGCGTGCCAACCGTGGCGGTGCCGCAGTACTCGGACCAGGGCACGGCCGCGTGGCTCGTGGCGGAGCGGTTGGGCGCGGGCGTCCTCGCGGCGGCGCGCGGCGCGGACGGCGGCTTCGTGGAGGCCGCGGAGCTGGTGCGGTGCCTGGAGGCCGCGGTGGCGGAGCCGGTGGCGGCGCGCGCCGCGGCGTGGATGGGGACGGCGAGGGCGGCCGTGGCCGACGGCGGGAGCTCGCACCGGAACCTGACGGAGTTCCTGACGCAGATCGCCCGCGGTCACGGGCGCGGCAACTAAACCGGAGACGTGGTTTCATCTCGTCGTGGTCCGATTGCAGCATGCATTTCTAGCGAAACCATCCATACTGGAATCGATGTCTAGTTTTTCAATGAGAAGAGTCTGACATGGGTATTCCCTTCAATCAGCTCGACGTCCATCTGATCTGATGGCTCCAAAACCAAAAGTGTTTCGTCTGTGCGTACTGCAGTACTAGTTTTGCATGCTTCTGAGTCCTGACGTGCATGCGCCTGCATCCTGCAGCCGCAGAAACTCGAGCAAACGTGTCGACGCAAAAGGCTTGAGGACAACGGCGCGGCGCTACGGATCAAAAGTTGAAAGTGCTGGACCACCGGACCACGAAGCGATCCTCATCTCCTCATCGATCGTTGCTGGACGGGACGTGGACGCACGCACCAATCCCTCCGCCGGTCGTCCTCGCCACCACCGCGGGTAGAGGACGATCGAGAGGGACGGCCGGCGGACGAACACAAGAGCGCGCCACCTACGCATGGGCATGGCACTCGGGCGGATGCAATGTATCCATCCGTCTGTCCTCTGCTTCGCTAGCGGTTTACAACGTGGAATGAGCTCTGAGAAGTTTTACAACGTGGTGACCGAATCGCCAGCAGCCTAATGAGTCGATTCAGAGAGCAGAAACTGATGTTGTGTTGTACATGTTCTTCTTTCTTCTCTTCTCTACCGATCAAAACTATATTATGTCAAAAAAAAAAAGTCTCCGCTAAGAGACTACAATCATTGTGCACTAACGAAAGTGTACCTAGATTACCGTATTATTAAAATCTATGACTCCTAATCCGATGGCCGACGTTATTTGATCTCCCCCACCTAGGCTTCAATGCACGTCTCACACATCCCGCAGGCTACGGTAAAATAGAAACCGATGGAAGTCAATCAAGGCAAATATGAAAATCAATCAAGGCAAATAGGAAGGTGGGATTCGTGACTCCGATCAAGTCAATTTCCAGAATTGTCATTATCAGCCTGTTTGTTTGTTGGTTTCAGCCAGAGCTTATCAGCCAACCAACAGTATTTTCCTCTCACAACAAACTAGCACCAGCCGGGCTTATCAGCCCAGAAACCAACCAGCGAACAGGCGGTATCTCTACAACTAAAACATTCATAAATATTCCGTCCAACCAGAGCTTATCAGCCAGCCAACAGTGTTTTCCTCTCACAACAAACTAGCACCAGCCGGGCTTATCAACCCAGAAACCAACCAGCGAACAAGCGATATCTCTACAGCTAAAACATTCATAAATATTCCGTCCACAACCGTGACACTAAACCCGCTCACCTCGTCGGTCTACCCCTGCGATCCTCCCCCGCTTTCCCCGCTTCCCCGCACAGTAGATAAGGAAACCACCATCCCTGCGATCCCAGCCGCTTTCACCGCGCTTTAGAAATGGAAACTGCCATCCACGTCGCTCCCCTGCGATTCGTTCGCAGACAGCTTCTTTCCACGCGCGTCGTCCTCATCCACCGCCCCCGTCATCACCATCCCGGGCGGTCCTCGCCGTCACCGCCCTGGCGCCAAGCGATTGCGTCTCTGGCACGCTCGCCCGGCCGCCTGCCCGCGCGCCCGGCACTGCGCCGCCGTGCACGCGCCGCAGCCGCCACAACGACCGCACCGCCGCCCTCGCCGGGATCCATCTCCCCTCCGTCCTCGCTCTGCCCTCGCGCTTGTCAGGTCTGCGCTATCGCCCGCACCATTGTCCTCACCCGCACCGTCGCCCTCGCCGCGAGAAATTGTGCCGGGGTGCCTATCCGTGCCGCCACACGTCGCTGACCCCACCGTGCCCATGCTGCTACGCAGCCGTCGCAAGGCCATCCCTGACCTGTGCCGGCGCCTTGCCCATCCTCGATCCGCGCCCGACATTCCGTGCTTCTAGGACGGAGCACTGAGAAGAAGAAGGTGCTGCCGCCACACGCCAGGTACTCAGGTCTTCGTCGGACCCTTCGTCGGCGACGAGCACCCAACAGGTATGCTCATCCCTTCTCCTCTCTTTATGCTGTGCGAGACCGAGCACCCGAACCCTGTCGTCATTTATATTTAGATCTGATCTAATTACAAATGTATACATGTATCCCTTTCAAAGAAATCAGAGGTACATGTGCACGCTCAATGTCCTTTACTAGATCCGCACCTGTGATTCTGTGTGCTTTGATCTAGTGGACTTGAATATGGTCGAAAGAGCGTGCCTGTGCAAAATACTTTGCTGTGTCCGAAGGAGAAATGGAAAACTGAGAAAAATGGCTAGAGAAAATGTGGCAAGTCCATGTTGCTTTATAATTGTAATAACCATACGTTATTCTGATATATTAAATATCCTAAAATTCCATTGTTCTTATCCTTTTATTCTTATTTATCTATAGGTGCCCAATTTTAACTAGATTGCGCTGCAATGTCTATGTATATTTGAAACATAAATTCTCATTGTAATAGGGCAGCGTCAGGATAGCAATATGTGCAAAGAGACAGTGAGGAGTGAGGAGCGAGGAGCCACCTACTGTTACATGAAATATATTGGTGTTTCCGGTTGAAACATTAGGAATACACTAGAACTAAAAATGCTCAGATTTATTTGAGTTTATGTACAAATGGTTATTAGGAATACTGTTTCAAACTTAATATTGCTGAACTATGTTTGTAGATTTTTTTGGGTAGAATTCTACAATGCATTGGGTGGCAATTGCTTTTCTTTAGAATGAAAGGGATATATTGCTGAACTGAATCTTCCAACTTGTCCCAGAATTAGCTTCATTAAACTCCTTGGAGAGGAAGCATCATATATGTCAGATAGGTTTCAGCCAAACAACATGGATTGGTTACAAAGCTGAATACACAACAATTGAAATCGGTTAACTCCTCAAAATGTGAAAATTGCATTCTTTTGGGGACGGATGTAGTATTTCCATTGGTCATGTTAGTTTGCTTGGAACAGGCCAGCGATTAACACAAGAATCTAGGGGTTGATTAAATTATAACCCATTCATGTTTTAAATACATGAAAAAACGGGTAGTCGTCTCTGATGTTTTTAGTCATCCATCTGTGTTCTTATTCAGAGTCTGAATATATATTGATCTCTTATCCATGTGTGCCTATTTCAGTGATAGAGAAGAGATTTATTTTATTCTATGATTCGTTCTATTGCGTGCATCTGATTTTTTTATTATTTTCATATTATGTGGTCGGATGCAGTCGGTAAAAAAATTATCTATGTGTCATCCGCATTGGTAAATTCTTGCAATGCTGCTTTTATTGGAATTATTCGTGAAGATCAGGTATGAATTTCTCAGGTCCCTATGTTTGCAAATGATGAATGAGGCTTCCTAAAGAATTTACTTGTATGCGCATTGTTCAGTCACTGGAAATTTAGCTTTGACATACATTTGCTTCGGTCCCTGGCAAATTAGATTATTTTTTAGGCTCAGTTTGTCCCTGTATCTAAATTGTTCGATCACTGAAAATTTAACTTTGACATGCATGTATTCAGGTTTGTATCGAATTTTTTGGGCCATATAGATTTCTTTTTCAGTGAGCTTTTTTTTTTAATAGCAAGGTTCTGCTCTCTGACTTCTCTACTGGTGCTGACTACTGCAGTTTTGATTGTCCATCGTGTGGCTACCGCACGTCCGCACTGTTGCAGACCGCCCTAGAAGCAATCCAGGTTTTCCTCCCTGCCGTTCAGCATCCAGCATGCCTTATTGTTCATGATCCAGCATGCCTTATTGTTCATGATCCAGCATACCCATAATCCGTTATCTTAGTTGTAAACTTATTTGTTCAAATATGCTCTGCAATATTCCGTTATCTAATGACTGAGCACAACAGGAAATAATTTCTCAACTATAATTTTGCTGGATCTATCTGAACTTCCATGCATCATGACTGAAACTGTCAATTGATATTGTTGAAATTAAACTGAGCACCAATCTTTCAGTCTACTATGGTCAGTCAGCATTTATAGTAGTTTTTTAACCAAAGCTGAATTTTGGCCTCTCGGTCATAAAAAACTATTTTCAATTTCTATTACCTGTTTGTCTGTATAGAAAAAACAATTTTAGTTCTTATTTAATGTGATGGTGAATATTCATTCAGAAGTATATCTATTTTAAAGGATGCTCACATGTCGCTTCCAATTTGTTGTACTGAATTTTGCCTCTGTAATATACTTCATCTCTGTAGATTAAATTCTAAGTGTCTTGTCAACCTGGTTGATTCCTCAGTACTACCAAATGAGGAAGACGCTGGGTCGCATTGAAAGGGGAGTCCACCTTGGAGGCATTCTAGGAGAAGGGTGACAAAAGTCAACAGTTCAGGTACCGCTGCTGTTAACCATGCCTTCCAACAAATTTGAGTAGGATGGTATGTAGGGCACAATCAACGGAATCTGCACCTAAAACATGATAGCATTCCAATTTTAGAGGCTTTGCCGACGTGTTTCAAATGTGTAGAGGTACAGTATTAAACCTATGAGTATTAGACAATTCTCAGACTGATCACATGTACATATGAGTGCATAGGTACATGCATAAAATATTATTTCTAATTTAGCAAAATAGGGTATATCATCATTTTGTTTATCATTTGAAAAAATATGTCATCATTTTGTTTAACTTGCTAGCATGAAATAATTTATAGCCGCTTTGGTTTCACAGTTTAGCCGCTTTGGTTTCATAGTTTATTGTTTACAACGGTAAGAACGATTACATTTTTAGAAGATCGTTATTTCTATATCTAAAAGACTATTTTCTTTTAAAAAAAATTGTCTTCATGTATTTTTAGACCTCTTTCCTGCATGGAGCCTAATGAAAATCACAGTTATCGCATGCCATTAAGAGACTTGTCAAACCAGATAAATAAAGGTAAATACTGATGTCGATGTGTATATGTATGTGAAAATTTTAACATCTGATAATTAATGATGTTAAGTCTGTCTTCTAAAAAAATTAGGCGTTGAAAGTGGATCTAATCCACTTACACAAGTCTCCGATC